TACGACGCTGAAGCCAAAAAATATTGACACAATTTTCTATGGGTTAGTTTTTGTAAACTATATAAAATGACTAAATGTCTATTTTGCCTCCATACACAGCTATGTTTATTCTGATACCATGGTAATTGTTATGACAACCACCGCTATGCTAGGTCAAGATTATATACATCATTCATCAGTCTAGCTTAGGTAGGGTTCATCAATGCAGTTTACTCAGCCAAAACTAATTCGTTGTGGCGCCTTAAGAAATCAAATCATGGTCAAACCATCACTTTTTTTTGAAATGACTTTTCAAAAGTCTCTTATCTCATCATGACATCACTTAGACATAGTTTTTGAAATGACATTTTAAAAGCCCTTATCTCACCTTGGCATTTTAAAAGCCATTATCTACCACTCCCGCATAGTTTGATAGTTTTTCCTCCCGTTGCAACGCACGGGCATATTTGCTAGTAGTAATAAAGAAGCCAATGCTTTTGGTCGTCCGTCACAGAAATTGCCCCCGAAGTTGCCATAAATTACCCGCTGTGACATCCATAAGTGAAGGAAAACGATTCGTTTTTTATTCCAAAATCGTCGTTGGGCTCTGTTCTTATATATGCATACACTTACGTAACATGAGCATGCAGGCAGCCCAATGGCTAACACGTCAGTCCACCTCACGGGAGGCTAGGGTTTGATCCCTGGTTCCAACCCCTTTTTACTCTGTTATAGCAAGCGTGCATCCTTCTCCCGCACACGGTGATGTGCCGGCCCATGTGCAGGTCGTGGCGCCCCCTGTTTTCTATTTTGCTTTTTTTGCTTTTTCATTTCCGCTTTTGTTTTACCTTCTTTAAATTAATTTAGATTTACAAATGAATCAAATTTCAAAAGGTTGCAAGTTTTAAAAATATATTAAAAATTATAAACTATTTTTGAATTCAAAAAACATTTGGAAAATCATAAAATGTTCATGATTTCAAAAAATTGTCCGCATATTATAAAGCAATTCACAATTTTCATGAAATAAAAAATATTCATGATTTTTAAAGTCCAATATTCCAAACATTTAGGAATTTTAAAAAATGTACATGAAATTTTAGAAATTTGAAATAGATCTGTAAATAATGAATAAAATGAACTTCGCTTACATAGAGGTTTTATTAGGGGGTTTGTAGAGGTTGTTTTATGATTTTACTAAGTCGCTGACGTCGGGTAAAAAAAGGTTTTCG